ATGCTATGAGCGGGGGGGGCCGGGGCAGCACCCAGCTGGGAGGAGAGGGGGATGCAGCGCCAGCCCCCTGAGGTCACACCATGGGGTCCTCCCCACCCTGGGGGGGGGGGTGACACAGACCCGGGGGGGGACCCCATCACCCTGATGCCGTGTCCCCCCCGCCCCGGCAGGGGAGGTGGCCGTCCCTTACTTCACGGGACACATCACCGACTGTGTGGCCGGTGAGAGCGAGGTGGCGGCCGCCTGGCCCATGGCACTGCTGGGGCTCGGCAGGTAGGACGGTGACACCGGGGACGTCACACGGGGCTGGCGCCTGGCCCATGGCACTGCTGGGGCTCGGCAGGTAGGACGGTGACACCGGGGACGTCACACGGGGCTGGGGGGGGGGTGACACATGTGTCCCCATGCTAAGCCACCCTGGTGCCACCACCGCAGCGCCGTCACCGAATTCACCTGCGACGTCACCTATGCGGGGACGCTGAGCCGGGCGCTGGGACATCTCCAACGTCGCGTCTTCACTGCCGTCCTGCGACAGGATGTCACCTCCCTGCGGGTGACGGGGACCGGGGCAGTGATGGCACGGGTGACAGGGGACGTGGAGGCCACCCACGCAGCGGTGTCCGAGGCGCTCAGCCTCTTGCTGTGGTACCTGGCGCGGGGCGTTTGTCTCCTGGTCACCATGGCGTGGTTGTCGCCCCACCTGGCCTTTGTCACCCTCCTGTCACTGCCTGTCCTCCTGCTGCTGCCCCGGGGTGTCAGCAAGATCGAGCAGGTACTGGGGGAGATGCAACACACGGGTCCCTTATCACCTCCCTGCGCCCCCTGTCCCCTCCCCATGATTGCTGTCCCCTCCCTGCACCCCTTGTCACCTCTCTGTGCCCACTGTCCCCTCCACATCCCCGCTGTCACCTCCCCATGATTGCTGTCCCCTCCACGTGCCCCCTGTCCCCTCCACGTGCCCACTGTCCCCTCTGTGCACCCAATGTCCGCTCCATGTGCCCCCTGTCACCTCCGCATGTCCACTGTCCCCTCCTTGTGCCCACCATCCCCTCGGTGCCCTGCATCCCCCTCCCCCATCCCCCCTGAGGTGACACCGCTGTCCCCAGAGGCTGTCGCGGCAGGTGCGGGAGGCGCTGGCGGGTGCCACCGAGGTGGCAGTGGAGACCTTCCAGGCCATGGCCACCGTCCGCAGCTTCGCCCACGAGGCCGGGGTGGCCGAGCGGTACCACCAGCGCCTGCGCCACGTCTACCGGCTGGAGGGGAAGGAGGCGGTCCCCTCCGCGGCCCCCCTCTCGGCCGGCAGGGGGCCGGGGGAGCATGGGGATGGGGGACGCGGGGACGGGGCAGCGCGGGAGCTGGGGGATGCAATGGCGTGGGGGCGATGGGACGCGGTGATGCGGTGGCATGGGGACAGGAGACATGGTGGCGCGGGGGCCGTGGGAACATGGTGCTACGGTGGCGTGGGGACAGGGGACATGGGGATGTGGTGGCATGGGACTAGGAGATGTGACGGCATGGGGACGATGGGACATGGGAACATGGTGGCACGGGGATGGGGGACATGGGGCTGGGGTGGCATGGGGCTGGGGGACGTGATGACGCAAGGGTTAGGGGACATGGGGACATGGTGGCACAGGGCTAGAGGACATGATGATGTGGGGACATCAGGACACAGCAGCATGACAGCATGGGGCTCTGGGGCACAGGGGCTTGGTGACATGGGGGATGTGACATCTCTGGGACATGGGGGGAACATGATGCCACAGGGGAGGTGACAGAGCAAGGCTGGGACCTCGGTGTCCCTGCGGAGAGGTGGCTGCAGCAAGGAGGGTGATGGGGACCCCCCAGCGGTGTCCCCCAGCGGTGACCTCCCTGCGATGACCTCCCTGCGGTGTCCCCAGTTCTCAGTGCTGGCCCTGAAGTTGGGGCTCCTCTACTACGGGGGACAGCTGGTGGCCGCGGGGACCATCACCACTGGGGACCTTGTCACCTTCCTCATCTACCAGATGCAGTTCACCGAGGCTGTGGAGGTGAGCCTGAGGGGACGCCGTGTCCCCAACATCCTCTGCACCATGTCCCCAAGCCCATTCCCCATGTCCCCACACCCTCCCCACTGTGTCCCCGTGCCACTCCCAGTGTGTCCCCATTGCCACCCATGTCCCATGTTCTCCCTGCCATGTCCCTGTGTCTCCGTGCCCATCTCTCCGTGTGCCTGTGTCCTCTCTGCCGTGTTCCCATGCCCTCCCCGCCGCGTCCCTGTCCTCCGTGTCCCCGCACCCTCCGGGCCATGTCCCCATGTCCTCCTGGACACATCCCTGTCCCTGTCCTCTGTGTCCCCAAGTCCTCCCCTGTGTCCCCATGCCCTGCCATCTCCCTGTGTCCCCTGCTGTGTCCCCGTAACCTCCCTGTCACATCCCCACGCTGGTCCTACTGTGTCCCCGTGCCCTCCGATGTCCCCACACCATGTCCCTGTGTCCTCTGTGTCCCCACACCCTCCCAGTGGTGTCCCCATGCCCCCACGTCCTCTTGGATGCATCCCAGTCCTGTGTCCCTGTGTCCCCATGCCTGTTCCCCATGTCCCCACACCCTCCCTGCTATGTCCCCTCTGCGTCCCCAGGTCCTGCTCTGCCACTACCCCAAAATGACCAAGGCCGTGGGCTCCTCAGAGAAGATCTTTGCGTTCCTGGACCAGGAGGAGCAGGTGGCACCCACAGGGATGCTGGCGCCCGATGTCCTGCGGGGCCACCTCCAGCTTGAGGACGTCTGGTTCTCCTACCCCGAGCAACAAGAGCCCGTCCTCAAGGTGGGCGCGGGGACAGGGCGGGGGACGCGGGGACATGATGGGGGGACACAGTGGGGAGGGCGTGGGGACATGGCGTGGGGACATAGAGGTGCTGGGGAGGGTGTGGGGATGTGGCATGGGGACACGGACTTGGGGAGGGCGTGGGGACATAGTGGGGACATGGCAGGTGGACGTGGGGAC